TCGTGAGAATTGAAGTATAACATTAATGTATGCAATATTATATAATGCTCTTATGTGTATTATTGATGTGGAATATATGGAGAAATATACACATAAACTTGGGGGAGGGGAGGAAGGGGGTACTGAGAACTGAACTCAGGGACACTCGACCACTGAGCCACATCCCCGGCCCTGTTTTGTATTTTATTTAGAGACAGTGTCTCACTCAGTGCTTAGTGCCTTGCTTTTGCTGAGACTGACTTTAAACTCATGATCCTCCTGCCACATACTCTTTTCAAGCCTGGGTTTTGTGAATGAAACCCTTCCTTCCAGCGAGGTGAAGCTGCTAGACCTGCCAGGAAGCTGGAGTCCAGCTTTTGGAAAACGACCTGATCTGGATTCCAAATTCTGGCTCTCCGATTCTGCAGACCTGGGTGACATCGGGATTCTCCCAACCTCTCTGAGCCTCTCTTGAACTTCGTGTTCTGTACAGAGGAGATAAAGGGTGATATTCGTTTTGCCTGCCTGAGTGCTATATTGTACTAGCATGTAAAACTTCAGTGCTTCAGGATACAAACAAGTATGTGAGTCCGGCACTCCATAATTTGAAAGTAAGAAGCCCAAAGAAGGGCTGTGGAGCCAAGGAAAACTACCCCTGGTCTGGGAAAGCCGGTGGTCCCCAGGATGCAAGGTAGTGGTGGAGGGCATTCTAGGATAGGGAGCCACACAGGCAAAGGCCTGGTGGCCGGCTTGGATCAGTTGTGAGTGGCTGGTACAACTCTGTATTGCAGGAGACAAAGGAGGTCCAACCCCACTTGTAAGTGGTGGCTAGGGTTTGGATTTAAGCATAAGTTGCCCACCAACACTTGTTATGTAGCCCACACAGTGTTTGAAGAAACTTCAGGATTGGTTGCCACCATTGCAAAAACTGGGACCTAGAAAATAGATTTCCCAGTTTCTTTGGGAAAATAAGCAGGTGTGACCACGAGGAACCCCAGATCCCCTCTATCACTCTTTCCTTTGTTGCACTCACCTTCAGTGCACCCTTGGCCACTATAGTTTGTGGCAGTTTTTAACTTAGGAGAGTGACAAGGAGTGATACCCAGTAGCTGTACAGGCAATTGACTGGGGAGCACACTCTGCATTGAGCTGGCACCCAGGTGGTGTACACTGGGCTTAGGGGTCATTTGGAGATGCCTAGATGATTGGCATCCTTGGTCACTCACTGGACCTCTTTTTTTCAATCATAAATTAATTATAGTTGTTTAACCTGTTTATTCCAGTTCCTTTGCACATCTTGAGTACTTGTGCAGTTGGAGAATGGTGTGGCAACTGAGACCACCATCCTTTTTAAAGCCTTGAGAGTCCTCAGGTTGGTCTATAAGAGCCATTGGACTCTGAACTTCATCAGGACCTGAATTCATGTAGAGGCCTTTCCCCATCCTTCTTTCTTTCTTATTTATTTATTTACTTTTGGACCAGGAATTGAACTCAGGGGCACTTGACCACTGAGCCACATCCCCAGCCCTATTTTTTATTTTATTTAGAGACAGGGTCTCACTGAATTGCTGAGCGCCTCACTGTTGCTCAGGCTGGTTTCGAACCCATGATCCTCTGTCTCTGCCTCCTGCGCCACTGGGATTACAGGCGTGAGCCGCCGCGCCTGGCCC